CATCGCCACTACCGGACTCTTCACCAACACTTGTCACTGCTTTTGAATCGTCTGAAGCAGTCGATTCTGCTAGTTTTGCATTTTCCGCGTCACAATCCGCGTCCACGTTCACACTCCGCGTATCCATTCTGCGTACTGACATGTTTTTCTATGACACACAACCGAGCTTATCAGTCTTATCTGTCAAGTGCCATTAATCTGTAAAGCTCTCAATGGTTGATAAGCACTTCAAAGTGGATTCATATCGACTGCAATTTCAATACAAAGTCTAGTCGATTTTGAAGAAATTATGTAAAATAACTTGCATACTATAGAAAGTTTACTATGATGCAGTATTAAATCCTGCATTGAATTAAAACCTCTTAAAACCTGTTTTTGTACAAGGAGTTTTAAAGAGGGGATATTCTAATCTAATATGTTGCTTTGTGAATGTTATTATGATAGTAAATTAAACTGCTATCTTCAGAAAAGTATGGTGTACATGAAATGCTTGAATTGCAAATTATGAATTAAAATATATGACAGATAGTTTTTAAAAAACGTTTTACCCCACAACACACCTTGTATGAAAATCACTTTTAAAGCAGTACAGCGTAAAATAACGTTTATATTTGTAACTAGGAACCTAGCTTTTTAATGCTGAAATTAGGTCATGTATGTTTACTACTACACAAAAATGCACCTTAAATTAAAAATCACCTTATGAAGGCAGTCAATTATATTCTACAAATACAGTTTCCTTTAAGCGACACAAAATGATTGTCATGCAAACCAGGACAAAACACCATCAATAACAGCACGTTAAGATTAACGACATTGAGAGAGTGGAGATTGGGGGTGACACTGTTGACATTACAAGGTTTAACTATTGAGTCTTTGCATTTTACCGACTTCAGCGTCAGTACGATGTTGGGAAAACAATTGAGTTATAGGGAAATATGCTGTGTATGAAAATTTTAAAAGGATAGTTAATTTTAGCGAATTTTCCATATAGGGAATAAGCTATCACTGCTCCCCAGAGGTCAAAAACATCATCTGATCAAATTGATTATGTTTGTGTGTGGGTGTCTATTAGCAGGATAACTCAAGCAAAATAATCCGGTTTTGATGCAATTTAGTATGGACGTGTAAACATTTGTTCTAAAGAGTTTGTAAACCAGCATGATCAGACTATGGGAACGGGGATTTTTGGGGTAAAAATATAATTTCTCAATTTTTCCCATAAAACATAAAAGTTTGCAATTTCTTTCTAACGTAGAGCTTAAAAACAATATCATTTAGTACATTGAAGAGTTGCTGTATGCCTGACAGTTATGGAGACGATTCTGAAAAAGAATTGAAACTTAAAAAAAAGTCCACGCAAATAGCATTGTATAACGATATATTCGAAATTTGTTTAGGGAAAGCAAACCTCTCAGTCATATGAATATTATGGGAATGGATAACTCAGTTGACTCTCTAACACAAGTCTGTGATGTGACTAGTTCACTACTATCACAATCACAATGATAAGATAGTGGAAACAACTAAGGTATTTTATCCCAATTATGAGTAGATGAGGAGATGCCTTTAGACAAGCCTACTATGATTCTTGAATTCATTCAAAGATTCTTTCTATAAGAGAATTCATAATTCAAGGCATTAGGATGAGTAAAAACTAAGCCTTATTTACCACAACATAATCATAAAATTGTATGTTTACTTTTAGATTTCCCTTTGTATGTACTGTAATAAATTTTTTTTAACCCTAATAAGTTAAGGATTCAAGCCGGATATTTTTTATACTGTATTCATTATTAAACGTTTGTGATTAGGTTAGAATTTCTGAAAACATTTTTTGTTCTATAATAAATTAAAAAAAATAGTTGAAAAATTAAGTTTTATATACTTACTTTCCGTGTCCGGAAATCAGACTTCGCTTTTCCAAAAATTAGCTACCGATATGGCTTTGTCATTCGCATGTAAAAGATCATCTAATGTGCAAGACTGGTCTAGGGGTGGGCAGATCAGCAGATGGCCAGGATCCTCTGCTTAAGTTTTATATAACTAAACATTAAAAGGATTTTGCATAAAATAAAGTTACAAATTGTGGAGCTACACAATTAAACTGTTCGTAAAAAATATAGAAGGAAAAACTTTACTGGCCACCTACTAGAGCCCCAGGACTCAATAACCTTCTCATTGCTTACTTCTCACTTCTCATTGTTATTGTACCTTGCGGCACCAATGAGATGAGCTATCGTTACAGTCCTTGTACTTTATAAGTGTATTTTTAGATGAGAGAATGGGAAAATGTTAAGATATTATGGCATTATCATTATACTGAGACAGGATAATTGTGTAATCCTATACTCTTAAGTGAGCAATTTTTGCTTTTATGTATGCTTGCACAAAGATCTAGAAAATGGCTTTGACAATTTCTTTTAAATGTAAGTAATTTATATCTGACCTAAAAACGTGTTTACTGCAGTTATAACTGCCAACAAAAATCTAACTACTTAAAAAATGAAATTGAAAGTCAAATTTTTTTAACATTAGCCTTGTGGGTTGCCAAGTAACCATGTTGGTTGAACAAAATAACAAGGATTAACTAAACAAAAGACTTGTAACATGTGTTTATAACAAGTCATCCGCAATACACTAGCAAATTACAAAATGCAGTACAAAAGGAAAAAATCTGTTGTTACTATTGAACAAAGATTACACTGAAGATTACTCAATATACGGGTACAATGGAAATTAACTATACTGAGCCATGGCTTGGTCCCCAGGTACTTTAATTTTAATATGAGAACAAGGTGAGAACAAAATTGGGTGATATGCCTTGTGTAGCTTTTAGATCAGCCGTTTCTTATGCCAGGATCAATTTATCAAAAGCCCAATGATTAAGGAAGCTGGGTTCAGTTTCAAACCATCAAAAAGCTAGATTTCTTTTCCTCACGAATTGAATCATTAACCACCAGATTGTTAGGTGAGCAATTTTAAGATTTTTTTTATGTACACGCTTTTAAATAATATTTATCAAATTTCAACTAAGGAACGTTTTTTCAAACTGCAATTTTCTGTACAGCTCATCTATTATTCTACAATTATTGTTGTATTTTTGCATTCTCAGAAAATGAACAAACAAATGAGCAACTCAGGTAAAACAACCTTGATTAGCCAGGCCATAGAAAATCCATAAGGATTACAAATACTGTATACAAGGGGGTAAGCTTAATCGGCACTAGCAAATATGCTATACCAAAAAAATATTAAACATGTTTTGTAAGCGTTTACATTAAATCTACTAATCACAAAGATTTTCCACGGTGAAGCTGAAGTGCACAATGTAACAAAACTGATGTGTGCCGACAGTAATTTCCCTATACAAGGCCCTTGTCTAGGGTAGGAGGGGGGTGAACACCACCACAAGCCTGATAATGTAAGCTAAGAGCTGTTCCGATTAATGACATAGGATTAGAACCATGTTACTACTATCCGATCTGACTCTTGACTCTGTGATTTTACATTCTTGTGTGTCAGCATAGACAATTTGTGTGTCACCGATCGTGTTTTAAAATCAAAGACACAGACAATGGGTGATTTTCCCATAAAACTACCAAAAAATCAATTTGGCCCTAACGATTTTACTCCTTTAGACTCAGAACCAGATGGTATAACCCTTATTGCTTTAAAAATTACGGTTCAAAAGTGATTGTATTTTTTGTGATTTTTTCCATAAAAACCCATTAAAAAGCGGATTTCTTTAACACAACCTATTTTAATTCATATTGTGTCTATAACATATAGTCATTTAAACTCAAAACGAAATGGTACAACCCCCATTGCTGTAAAAATTACAGTTCAAAAGTTATTGCAACTTTTGTGATTTCCCCAGTAAAATGTCATAGTTACTCCTACCCCACTTACCCATGGTAAGGGTCGTTGACATGCTAACGGGAAAGTGTCTATTTTTCTCTCCATGAATGAAATTTTTGCAATAATAGGGGAACAGTATAGTTTTTTCCTGGCATCACAGTGTTTTGAGGAAAGCTTTGTGATTCAGAAGAGAAGAAGGAGAAAGAGAAGAAGGGATGAGATACATAAACCTCTTCGTCAATGGCTGTAACCCAACTAAAGGTAAGTTACTTTACTACCTTTATAGAAATGAATTTTATGATGGTCACATATCTTGTCATTCTCAAATCATTGTATATTATAGGTGAGTAGTTATAGAACTTCATAGCTTCATGTTAAAATCTGACTGTCTCAAATGTCAACATGTTGAAATAGTTATTACGCAGATAGGAATCAAATAAAAATGTACGGACATTTATTTGAGAGATAATACACAAATTTTTGATAGTTTTAATGTGGTGTAACAAAGCTTAAAGCTTGTAATAAATGTGAATGGACAGTGGATTGACAATAAGGTAACTATTCTAAAAACTAGACATTTCATCCCCATATTGAAGTTGTCCCCAGTTATTAAATCAAAAGTCATTTTGATGTGAGTCACCAACAGATTGTGCTAATGTAAATTATTAATTTCTGTTGAAACACAAACTTTTTTACAAAGTCAAACTGATAGAACTACTTTTTGTGAGCTATAGCGACTGTCATGTGGGGGGGGGGGGGAGGACATATGACCAATCAACCATGTCAGCAACAAAAAATAAGGTAGAAAATAGAATTTTAGACACTAGCCCATTCTGTGACTGGCTCACTCAACTATGTTTCTTAAACACATTTTAAAGAAAAGAAATAACAGTTTTTATTCCAAAATGTTGAATTTAGTAAAATTAATAGATTTTTGTTAAGAAAAGGTCCAAACAATTATTTTGTCTCAATAAACAGCTGTTAGAAATCATAAATAACGTTCTGGATCCTTAATCAACCTTCTTGTAGATATAAATATTACTTTTGAAGGCCAGAAAACCACTTGGTTACTCAGAATTGTTTTATAGGTGTAACAATATAACAAAGGTAACAACATCAGCAAAATTGACGTAACTCACCGTATAAGTGATGGTATTAACAGGTGGTGACAATTTCCCCTGCATTTTCTTTTCGGAAAGGCTCGAATTACTGCCAGTAGTGCTGCCATCTAAAACAAAAATAAAAACAACGTAAGAAGAAGAAATCACAATCAACGTTTACAGCTGATCATACAATCGTACTTATAAAGAGTACATATCGAGGATATTACGTGACTATACATTTGAATGAAACTTAACAAGACATTGTCTTCTATAAAGTATTAATTCATAGTATGAACATTAGAGCAGAGGTAGTATGGATCATAAACATAAACAGATTATGTCACTGCCACTGTCTATACTATAGAAAAGCTACAAACAGCTGGCGAATATGGAGGGTATGTATACACTTGTATCTAGTAACCAATGATTTTATTGGTTTACAAGCAATTTTATCCACGTGTTTGGTAATAAAAAATATTACAATTAAGACAAACAATTTTAATAAACCCATTTCAAAACATAATGCTTTAGCAAAATATTTGACCAATGATAACATTAACAACAATTTACATTGTTTAGATCAATAATTTCATATTGAAATTAATTTACTGGTACGTACTGTACTTAAACATTATGTAAGACTCTGATACATAGTCCAGTCAAGGAATGAGGTGTAGAGTGCGTGAGTTGGTAACTAAGCGATTCCTTCAGAAACTTGTTCAGGGGGCTTAGGGTGTTAACATACCAAAAGTCCTCACTCCTAGGTGGTGAGCCAGTGGGTGGAGGGGGAAAAAAGGGGGGGAGAAAGGTACGCATTTTGGGTTTTTTGATTATATCTCGAAAACTATCAACTTTTTGTATACTATAGTAAATTATAAAATTGAAGAAGATTAAATATTCTACAAGAAAAGTATATAATGTGTTTATTTTGGTTCAACAGATTACGAGTTATAACTTATTTGATTAATATCTTATCAAAATACTCTTTCCATAAGAAATACATGTAAATTAGTATGTGAAATGGGGTGAATCCTATCCGCCCAAAGGAAATATAACTGATATTCTGGAAATCTTGACAAAATTTCCAGTAATTTGACACTTTAATCATTAAAATTGATCCAAAATTAAGGCGAGGGCAAGGTAACAAAATGTCGAGTTTTGGTGTTTTTTTATTGGAAATATAAAAAAACCTCAAATCATCCCGTTTTTAAACGCTCACCCTCGCTTTAATCTTTGACAAAATTTCATGATTAAAGTGTCAAATTACTGGAAATTTTGTCAAGATTTCCAGAATATCAGTTATATTTCCTTTGGGCGGATAGGATTCGCTCCATTTCGCATACTAATTTACATGTATTTCTTATGGAAGGAGTATTTTGATAAGATATTAATTAAATAAGTTATAACTCGTAATCTGTTGAACCAAAATAAACACATTATATACTTTTCTTGTAAAAAATTTAATCTTCTTCAATTTTATAATTTACTATAGTATACAAAAAGTTGATAGTTTTTGAGATATAATCAAAAAACCCAAAATGCGTACCTTTCTCCCCCCCCCTTTTTCCCCCCTCCACCCCCTGGCTCACCACCTAGGAGTCAGGACTTTTGGTATGTTAACACCCTAAGCCCCCTGAACAAGTTTCTGAAGGAATCGCTTAGTTACCTGCTCACGCACTCTACACCTACTTTTGGATCATTCATTGACTGGACTAACAGTAGATATTTAAAGTGTTAATTTTGCCATTATATAAAAAAAAAACTTTATTACTGAGAATATATGGAAAGCAAATTTAAAGGTGATCTTTCATCAAATATATATACCAATGTGTATATCTTAAAACATAATAGAACTCATTATAACTTGTATTTGAAATTAAGGACAGGTTTTAACCTTTTTCGCTATTATTACATTGGGTATCTAAATTACACTTAACGCTGTACAGTAAAAAAATCCCACTTTTCCAATAGACTAAATCAATATAATAACTTTGTTAAAATTACAAATTAAACAAAAACATTTTATTCAACATTCAACGTAAAAATAATAATAGTCACAATTAACACAACTTATCACACCTCAAAACCACCAACGGCAACAAAGTCGACCGAAACAACAACACGAAAACCCAGCTTCGACTGATGTGGTATACGATGACAATATCCACCGATTCTGTGGTCCAATAAAACATCTAACGGATATATAGAGATAAACCTCCATGGGAAGGGTGGAGAGATGAAGCTATATGACAAGAGAAGATAGATATGACTGGGAAAATGACATACACTGTATTGATGTGGCTATAACACAGTGTAAATATGCATGTTGTTCAACAACCAACTAGAGCTGCGATTTACTGACAGTATTCAAAGTACGTTGGTTTTTTATGAATAAAAATCCCCTTATTAACCTAGCCCTTCTCAGTTCATTACCACTTTTCAGAACAATGGTTGTATTACAAATAAAAATAACAAATCAAATGTAAAAGACAAACGATGAGTTTATTGCCTATTACGATTATTAAAAACAAAGTTTTCACGACATTTTGGGGTAAGTGTGAATAATTGTGTTCTCTTTATTTTGTTTACCATTATACTGTTGTAAAAGTCCACAATAATATGTTAAAAAACATAAACTCCCCATCACCAAAAACAAACTTTAAAAAATATAGTTTGAATATACTATCACCTTATAACAATCCATTAATAACCTAACAACCTTTTAACAATCAAACAATTACTTAAGCAAGTTAAGTTTTTTAATTTTTTTTCTAAAAATAAACAAGAACAGTTTTTGGGACTAAAGGGGAAGTTGTTATTAAAATTTGGATAAAAGAACCTAAGTTTATTTTAAAAAATTCAAGTCCCTTTTTTCGTTTGTTCTTTTTCATTGCCATAAAGTTTTGTGGACGTGCTGGGAATTGAACCTGTCCCTTTCACTCACAAGTCCGAGATGCTAACTACTAGGCTGGCACCACCAATCACACCTACAGAGTGTGACACATAGTTTTTCATATAGTATAGTTAAGAATAAGAATAAGAATAAGAATATTTTATTTCCATTGATCTGTTTGTACAGAAATAGGACAAGTCAATTTGTTATACAATGTTATACAAATGTAACATATAGCAAATAAAAATAAAACAAGACATTAAATGTATTAAAAAGAAATACAAACTTGTGTATTTAAAAACTCCTCAAGTTTATAAAAGGGATTTTCTACCAGCCAGGTGTACAATACAGATTTAAACCTGTTTAAACTAACCTCTCTTGCATTCTCAGGCAGCTTATTAAAAAAGTAAATGCAATTTAGTTTAAAAGAAGTTTTAGTTTTTGTAAGCCTATGTGGTACTATATCCAAATTTCCCCTCCCCCTGGTATTATGATTATGAATATTTTGCCTAGTACGAAACATATTTAAGTTTGTATTAGCATAAACCAGAACTTGAAAGATGTATAGATTGAATACTGTAGGAATTTTGAACTCTACAAAAAGTTGCTTACAGTGTGCTACGTGATCGACTCCTGCCATATTACGAATAGCTTTTTTTTGAAGCAATAGGATGTCATTAACATGTGGTGAGTGACCCCATGCAAGCAATCCATATATTACATATAGCACTTTGAAAGAGGCCAAAGTATGCTAGTCTCAAATAATCAGGACTAACAAAACTTTTGAGTTTCCAAAGCAGGCAAGTCACTCTTGAAATTTTGCTACAAACAGATTTGATGTGATCAGACCAGTTTAATTTTGAGTCAATATGTATTCCTAAAAGCTTGACTGATTCCATATTGACTTCTCTTTTTAAACTCAATGTTATATATTGTGTTTTTTCCGAATCCAAAGTTCATATAGTAGTCACCCTTTCTGGGAAGTAAAATGGGAGAATTTAAAGGCGGGTACTACGCTAAGAGACCTCCTCCTGAAATTAGAGCCTCTCAAGTTACAGCGGCTACTGAAAGACAAGAGTCTAGTGCCCAATGCATTTGCAGCACTCCATAATCTTAAAACTACTGTTGTCATCCCTGCTGCAGATCTGTATGGAATAAGATGTTTTCGCTGATTGTTTCAACTTTAAAAGCTCAAAGTATTTAGGGAGGTTGGTAATTACTGAAAACATTGGACCCCTTAAAAGCCTCTAGGGCGAAGCCCTTTTGACGGATCTGCACCAAACTTCACACAAACCATCCTTGAATAATGCTTAATAATGCCTGAAAGTTTCATTATAATCTGTCAAGCGGTTTCAAAGTCCATAAGGTATACATATGGCCTAGTTCCTCTTTCATAGATATAGATTTGTACAGGTTTTTTATTGTTAAGCTTAGAGTAGTATGGCGTAAAATATCGTATGTTACTCGTCCAAAATGTGTTTACCGGACTCGTATTGTAATCCTGAACTTGACTTCGTCTCGAACGGGACGACCACACTCATCCGGGAAACACCTATTTTCAGGACTAGTAACGTATTATACTATTTCGTAACTACTTTCGTTTCGTGTCGTTTTGTGTTGAAAGAGCCAAAAGCCCCTCGACTTCAACCCGGTACCTATAATTAAACATACCCGGGCCCCATGGTGTAGGCCGGAGCATACGCACCAACCTTAGGCACACCATGGGCGGATGACTTAAGGTCATCAGGCTCACCGGCTGCCGAAGCACCCCTTTGGAAAGAGGGTTGCCCCTCAATCCTATCCAGGGATACCGGTTACTTGGTCTTTCGTCCCTCCAACTGGGTTCCCCCAGGGCCGAAACCCTCGACAGACCATGATGGAGTCTCTGGACGCAGCATAGTGCAAGCGACACTCGGGACCTATCTAATCCCTGACAGGCCATAAACTGCCATCAAAGCCAGGAGGAAGGGGACCGGGGTTCCCCCTCTATTTACACCACTACCCGATCGAGGCCATCTCATTCGCTAGGAAACCATGGATAACCAGGGCGATAGATCCCTAGATACCCCCAGCGGGCTTGATCCCAGCACCCGATCTACTTCATTTGCCCATCTTCATTTCGTAACTACTAGGTATTTCCCAAAATTTGAAAGAAACATCAAATAAATAGCTAAATTCCTTCAGCTATGTCCCACCTGTGAACCCTTTGCCCAAGCCACAACTTGACAAGTG